CTGACAGATAAAACGGTGGACAGGACTGAAGCCCACAAAGGGGTGATTGGCAGCGAGCGGGGACCACACACCAAGGAGATCGCCTTTGAGCCGGTTTTGCGACAAATGACGTGTCACCAGCAGTTTTCCGCAAGTACGGGCTAACGCTTCAGTTGACGCCCAAGTTTACCCCTTTGCTTCATAGTTGTCCTAGTAATTCAGAAGTCCAAGACGTTCAGCTTACATACATCGGGAATGAAATCATTACTGTTGAGCGGGTTTGAAGTCCAGCTTCTTTTTTATGTTCTAGTCCATCATGAATGGTGCTATTCCTGTTCTCGTACGCAGGCGTTCGTGCGCAATATGTATCGGGGACAGATATTCGTCGTCGTTCACAAACCTGTTTCCACCCGGTTCCAGTTTTACTTGTTCGGGTTGATTGTGGTGTTTCATTAGTATCCAAATTCTCATTTTTTGCTTTTCATTCTAGTCCTAGTTTTCCCAAATGCATTTCTTTTGAATTGTTTCTCCTACTCTTTATATGCGTTTCCAGATTTCTTGACATGTTGTTGTCCTGTTTCGAGATTCATTACGGAAACGGTATCTTACTCTAATCATCTGGTTGTCTGTTTGCCGCAATGGCCGAACGTCCTGTTGAATTGAACGTTGACGTCGACGTTCCGCCAGTAAATCAGCAGCAAAATCGAAATGGCGATGCAAGAGCTCAAGCACAGGTTCGCTGAAGTGGTTCCTCAATTCTTCTTCTTGTCCATCGTCATTCAGACAATACAATCATTTGATTATGTCGTGTAAGTAAGCTTTGTGTTCAGAACAACACTCAATTTGGGGTCGTACGCGATCGATTATTCCATGCGATGTTGGTCAAAGTCGCTCTCAGTTATAGCTCACATGTGAGCATGTTTTGGCGACGAATCATCGAATTCATCTCATTGTTAATAGTAAGTTTTTTTGCCTTTGGTTCGGATTTACCGTCAAATTTATTTCTCAATCGAATTTTAAAGAAAATTTGCAGGCTTTGTGCTTGTTATTCACTTTATTATTTGTTCATTTGATGTTCACCCGATCATCGGCTACATGTCTAGATCATATTCGGGACACATGGCCAAGAGATGGTATGTATTTTGCTGCCGGTGATATCAGATTTCATACTATCGCATTCACTTTTATCTCGTTATATTCCTCAATTTGATAGTTTTTAACTCATTCTCTTAACAAGTATACTCGATATCTCGAAGTCAGATTAGGCGTGTCTATGGGTTTGACGTGGCGGCCGCCGCATTTGATGGAAGTTGCGCGGATAAGCATGCTCTGCTGATATCCAATGGAGTACGTTAGAAACAGCCTATCCTCACGGCTTTTATCAAGTGCGGCAAAGGCCACGTCAAATCCATAGCCACGCCTAATCTGACTTCGAGATTTCGACTGTACTCTCAACTGTATGTCTAGCATAGAGCGATAGTTACATTCTGGCGAGTAACAGTTCCGCTAAAACGCATAGGTGTAATGACTTGCTTCCCTTGCGAATGATTCGAGCGATTCGAGCGACTCCCCAATCCATTTGGAACTACTCTAGCAAAATTCATTCAGTGAATTTAATATGAAGTGAATAGGAACACACGAATCTCTGATTGTAAAATTATCAATGCTGTCTTATTCTGAGAGGATCTATTGTGGCCAACACCGATAGCGTGTACTCTTCTCTTCCTCATTAGCCACAGTGCGCATACACTGGTGTACAAAATCTTCCATTTTTTTGCGGAGAATATTAGTTTTGCTTTCCTTTATCTCTTTGCATTGCTTACAAGAATATCTTAAAGCAACATCGCAGCAGGTTATAACCTTTACTATTCAATTGAATTAGAAATGAATGCAGTAAGGCTCTTTCACTCGTCGGTCGCCAGATGTAACGAACGCACAGCTGATGCTATATCTCACACGTTCGGACATTGACGATCGATACGTATTCATCTGTGCGTCGTTACTAATCAATTACGTTGGACGACCGTGTAATGAAATGCGTCTCCTTACCTCCGTAAGGTTTACCGAATTCTCTGAACAAAAACTCTCCTTGAAAAGCAGCTAGAATTTAACTTGAACGCCTTGGTTGCTTTTAATCTTCGGCTTCGCCCACTTTCTAGCTCGCGGGCCTGACTGCGTAGACATGTGCGATCGTTTCGGGACTATAGGGACCATTTGAAATCGGTCCTTCAAGCCGTTCAATTTGATCCTCCCGTCCATCTACTGGAATTCACTGCTCTTGACCAAGCGTATCGCTTGTCTCAGAAACTGTGATTGGGAATCATATTCCTCTTCTACATAATGAAATACAGATGCCAGTGTCTTCAGCAGATACTGTTCTAGCACAACAAGATAGCCAACTCGTCCGCTCGCCCTTTCTATCATCAGGAACAGAGGAGTCCTGTTTGAACTTCGTCGCTCGTTTTCTTTGCTTTTCCCATTAGCAGTCAGCTTGCCTTCTGCAACTTCATTATCGACCGTTCTTAGCCTTCAAACTTGTTCTGGAATTATTCAGACATGGGAAGCCTACACTACATTGGCCCTAAATTCTACCGTTTTGAGGAATCCTAAATAAGAATGGGTGTGGTATAGGTACTCGACTCTCGGAGAGCCATGTTTCTTTGAAATGAGGACAATTGAGCGAAACGACACTATCGCATGCAAACCTTCTTGGCAATCTTTTTCTTCTTGTGCATAAAGTTCTGTGTGGAGCTTCATTAATAATTTCACAAGCGATTACTAGCAAACAAGAAAAGCGTGAAAAACTCAAACATTGCTGCTCTCTCCTAAGACTGCCTTTGTTTACTTGGTTCAAACGCTGTCTGATTTTCGACTCAAAGCATCAAAAGATCAGAATTAACGCCAAATTTGATGTTTCTGATGCATTGATCTCCGATGAGTTCAGGTAGAAGGGGAACAAATTACTGATGTGCATAATTCTTGCTTTGTTCCCACTCCAGCATCCAGCTAGACCAGCTCGGCGCACTATCACAACCTATATCCCTTCAAACTTTTCTAACCCTTTCCCAGATGCTGTTGAGCATCCCTATTCTGTCGCCATTATTTTCGTTCATAAGTTTTTCGACTGGACAAAATGGTCACACATCAATACTTGTGGTAGAAGTCGATCTTTTTTTAGGAGTTATACGGCTTGAAGTTGTACACAATCTTCGTACACTTGAGTACAAGGAGAACTGGATAAATTGGTATAGTGAGTGATTTTATTCTTTGGCTGTTCACTAATTGTAGGGTATCTTTCGGTCTAGTTTGAGAAGTAGTGACCAGAGGAATTTCTTTATTTTTTTTTGCAGAAAATGAACGGAGCCACATGACATGTTCATTCAATCCGGCTGATGTATTACTGTACGGCCCTCGAGCTATGCCTGCTGAGGTACGCGAAGGACGTAGCAAACCTCCTCAAAAGATGAAAAGAGATGAGGTATTCTTATGGTTACTTCTGCAGACTCATTTATCAATGTAATGTCAATATAATGTTTAGCCCAGTGAACGAGAGGCACACAGTGGGTCTAGTCTGCTGAGCTTTTTCCTTCGCGTGCCCACTGAATTGCTTTTGAGCAATGACGACTCACCTGACTATGCAGACACAACGGTATGTTTGCGATGAATTAATAAGTTTACCCTGTATCCTGTATTGCTTCTGTAGGATGACAACGACAGTCAATATGGAGACAGTATATATGAGCAGGAGGTTGATGCGGAAACAGCGTTTGGCGAGCATTTTCGAAAGCATTTTAGTGAGTATTCTTTGAGTAATGTTCACATACAATTTACACATTAAAAGGTAGCTCTTCGTGGAGAAATCACAATGAAAGAACATCTTTCTTCATATAGGGTACAAATATTTTTTAGCAGAGAGCAATTACCATTCATAATTTTTTATGTGCCATGGAAAAACTGATAGCTAGGGAAGGAAGCGAAACAGCCCTAGGTGATTAATAACAAAGGTTAAAGGGTGTTTTGGAGGGCTCGCTAAAGAAGAGTGGGCGGTGCTTCTAGAGCTGTAGACAAAACTTTCATTTATCGTGAAACGAATGATTCAGACTTTTTTGGTGTCTCCGAAGTGGTGAGACTCCATGTAAACCTTTCCCTAGCTTTTCATTTTTCCTTTTCTTTGGGGCATACTTTACTTCATTAAGGTTTCGGAGTGGAATCTGATTGTATGACTTTTGCAATTCAGAACCTGAAGACGCATTCCGCTATGAATACCGGGTTGAGTACTCCCTGTTGTATGGTATCTTACGCCTTCCAGTTTCCTTCCGTCACAAGCACAATATTACAACGCTTTGGGCAAGGGTAAGCTTCGTTTTGTTTTGAACCTTAGTTTTGATGTCATCCAC